GTACTGAGAAAACTGAGTTTGCTATTTACATCTGACAAAAGTTGTGTTGCAGGATGTTCGCATACTGCTGGCACTTGAGCTCGTGGTGTTTCACTAGCTCTCAATGGACTATTGAGATTTGAGTAGTAAGTGGAAGATTACTGGGACTTTGGGGACTCCATGTTACAGAGTTATAAAACTCTGGAGATGAACAAAATATTGCCATTGGTTTGTTAGGAACGATATGAACTATTTCAGGAGTCTTCTGCAGAAGAGAAGAAAACTTGTCTCCTATGCTGCACTGGAAGGCAATTACAGGTATGACGACAGATTTACCTGTACTTTTTTTTTGGGGGGGGGGGGGAGCAAGGAGGGAGAGAACATTCAAGTTTGCTTTCTCCCTTTTTTTGTGCTGTTGCATGGGTATTAGAGAACCAGAGCAGTCTATAAATGCTGGTGAAGAAACACACTGTGGTATTAATGCCTAAAGTAAGAGACAAGAAAAAGTTAGTGCTTTACTCATTCTTCTATTCATTCCTTGACCTCTTGGATAGGCAGGCTATAAAAAAGTAGATAGCAGGATCTACATGTCAGAGACTCCACTGTCTTACATCATGGGGTCATTTACATCCATGCCACACATGTGAACATGGCAGTGCTATATAAGGTGTAGAGCAATCAAGAAGCGGGCCCAAGAGTTTCTGGGAGCAGACTATGGTGATTTTTCCTTGCAGTGCAACAGGGAAAAGTTTTCTGCCTGATACCTTGTTAGACTGTAAGTGGGTTTTACTTTCCAGGCACAGAGTTTTGTCCTCCCTGGTTCTCAGACTCCGACTTTAAGGTCAGAAGGAACCACTGTGATTTTCTAGTCTGACCTCCCACATGTTGCAGGCCACAGAAACGTACATGCACACTCCTGTAATAGACCTCTAACCTCTGAGTTACTGAAGTCTTCAAATTATTGTTTAACGAGTTCAAGTTAGAGAATTCATCATTTACTACTGATCTGTACCCCTTGCTGCAAGGGAAAGGGGGGGAAGTTCTGGCTCTGTGCTAAAAATAGCGCTGAGAAACATGTAAGCATTAAGTGTGACAGAACCTACAAATTTAATATTGTAACTGCGGGAAGGAAGCACAAAAAATGAAGAATCACTAGACTCCTGAAGTAAAAGCAGATGACATGCTGTACTTCATGGAGAGCAACTTGGCTGTCCAGGGGCAATGTAAACATTCACAGCTGTTTAGAAGGAATTATACCAGGGAGGAGCTGTCATGAAGTGACCAGTAGGGGGCCTGGCTTACAATCAAACCTTGAACTGCTCTCAAAAAAGGGGAAAGTTCCAGCTTATGCTAAAGAGCTAAGATTCAGGTATGAGAAAAGTGCACATATATTTTATGAGTTTTTTTTTTAAAGTTTACTTTCAAATACACTTCCTGATACTTTAAGACTTTTCTAAGAGGAAATCATAAGACAAGGATACTGCTTCTTCCCTTCCTCTATTTCCTCTATGTCCACCTTTTTTAGTCTAGGCTACACAACTGGAAGTCCTCTTGATACTATTTTCTCCATATGTACCAACATACCTTATATTAATGCCTTAATTTCAGAAAATAAATTTTAAACATTTCTAAAATTTTTGACAGCTCTCTGTGCCCTATATAGTCTCTCCTGAACTCAGGTACCTGGTTAACAGGGAATATATTCTTGGGGAATCAGGGCATAGTACTCATTGAAGACACCCCCCACCCTTGCTTGAACCAAAACCAAAGCATGAAAAGACAGGAGGAGAACCACCTAAACCCCTCCCTCCAGACAAGGGTGATAGGATTTAAGAAACACCTCTAAACTTACCTGCATAAAAGATAGGACAGAAAGACTATTAGCATACAATGGAATGGAGAATAGCACTACCAAAGTAAGAACCACACTGAACAGCGGACTACAGAAAGCCGGAAAGCACTGCCAGATGGGAAATCTCTGCTCCAAATGCTAATCTAGGTGTGGGCATGCCAGCCTTCATCAGTAATTATCAGGCCAAGTTTAGTAATAAATCCTCTACTGGTATCCAAAACACTTAAACTGTCTAATTGCATTATGAGCTCCCTTGACAGAACATGACCCACAGGTAGGAATGATCAGTTTTAATTGCGTAGCATAAACAAAACAACTTTAGAACACTCTTCAGCCATCCATTTACCCATAAACAAGTGTCTTCTTCTTGACCCATTGTTGTTTCCCTATAAAAACCCTTATCCATGTTCAAGTAAAATGTTCTGATGCCTGGATCTGAATTCTGCATCAATTCCACTGGAACTTCACCTTCTCCATATTCATCATGCTGGAGGCTCTGCTCAGCCTGTCTCCAGCACTCTGGATTCCCTCTACCATCACTATCTGGGAACCCCAACCAGTTTAAGCTTCATGAACGATATCTCTCCCCCTCTCTCTAGGTATAGGCTCCTGAACCTGCCTTTTGTGATCAATTATTGTTTGCTAGACTTAACATTTGTAATCAGACTGAAGTTGGATTTAATATTTTAACTGTTTTGTTTGTTTGGTTCCCTTTATATGGTTTTTACATAGAAAGAAACAATATTCATTGCTAAGCTCATTGCTTTTTGCTTTTTTCCCCCTCCCACCCTCATAGGGGTGTTGTTTTGGCTTCCCAGTTCATTCTGCAACGAAGTTTATTGTATATAAGCTAAAGATCCCTGTATTACCCAAAATCCTGTGGGGTTTGCTCAAAGGGGGTTACTAGTACAACAGTTGTGGCTGAACCTGAAAGCCATATGAAGGTGGCAGCTTAAAGAGCTGTTTAACCCAGACCACTGAGTCCAAGGCAGGGGTGGGCAATAATTTGTAATCGGGGACACTCCAAGATTTTGGCAAGTGGTCAAAGGCTGCATCTTTACCAAGGGGGTGTGGGGTCTAGGACCTAGGAGATTGGGTGCCGAAGGGAGCTTGGGGTAAGAAACTGGGGTGCAGAAGTGAGTGTGGAGTCTGAGAAGGAGGTTGGGTGAATGAGGGGATTGTGAGCTGGGGCAGAGACCTAGGGTGCAGGGTTGAGGAGGGAGTATGGGTGCAGAAGAAGATTCTGCCCTGAGAGAGGGGCTCTAGAAGGAGATGTAGTGTCTGGGAGGGAGTTGTGACCTGGGTGAAAGGGGTGCAGAGGGTTTGGGTGATGACATGGGGCAGGACAATGGGATGCAGGATCAGGGAGGGGGTATGGGTGCCAAAGGATTCTAGCTCAGGGGAAAGGAGTACGAGAGAGTGCAGGGTCGGGGAGGGAGTTGTGACTTGGAGGAAAGGGGTACAGAGAGTTTGGGTGGTGGCCTGGGGCAGGTGGTTGGCAGGGAGAGAGGGTGGGAGTGCCAGAGGCAGGCTCTGCGTGGGACTCACTTACCTAAGCAGCTTCCAGTCAGCAGCCCTGAAGGAACCTGAAGGCTGCAGTCGCAAGCTACTGCACATGGCTCTGCTCTGGGTGGGGATAGGAGGGGGGAAGGAGGCATCATTGTTTGTTTGCTGGCATCAGGGGCAGCCAATCTCAACTGCAAATGGTTAGAAACTGGTCAATGGGAGCTGAGAGATTTTGTTAAGGGATGAGACAGAGCACAAAGCCTCCCTTGTCACTTCCAGACTAGAGCAGCCACATTTTAAGTGGCTGTTGCTGTGCTATACTTAAGGGTCCCAGCAAGGCACGCTGACAGCCTCTTGCCCATCCCTGATCAAAGGGCACATGAGGGGCACTGCTGTGCAGCCCAGCCTAGTGAGTCCAGGGACATAAGGGGTCAGCTTGAGAATGCTGATTAACTGCTCTCTCAGATGTGCTCTGGTAGCATGTGCGAGTCTCTGTGTGGTTCATCTGATTCTAGGGTAGGAAGAACCCATTCCCGGGGAACCTAGATTCTTCAAAAGAACTTCCTTTGGGAGAGAACTGGCGTAAGGGAGAACTAAAGCGCTATACGAGAACACATGTAACACAAGCTTCATACTAACAGAATTATCAACCTGTAAGAATAACCCTAATAAACAAGCATACCCCACAGTAACGGGCAAATCCGGTTACAGGGAGGAAGAAACAAAAGTCCTGCTTAAATAAAAAATTTTTTAAATCTACACGTATTTGTAAAGCAGTAACAGAGAATACAGGATACATGGAGAACTATCACACAGTTTAACAATATTTGTTTGTATAACATGCATAATTAGTTCATAGCTTTGACAACTACCAGTAATCTATCCATCCACAAATTCAGCTGATAAAACCTTTACATCCCACCACAATGTATTCAATACACACATTCACAGTCATCAGAATCATTTTACAGCCACATATATACATCTATCTCCTTGCTTTACAATCTCTTTGCCTTTTTGTCTCCTAAACTACTCCAATATCATCATCTTCTATTTTGTCTTACCCTAAATCTAAGCATATCTAGGCCATAAATCCTGCCCATATACTGTGAAGTTGTAATAATGGCTGGCAATTCAATATAGAACTATTTATGAAAGAGTGATAAGCAAGTGTTCCAAGTTCATCTAAGCTTTTGCCCTCACCTTTTCCCTCTCCTCTACAAGTTAAAAAACATTATTATACCTCTCACTCCTGAGGAGACTGAACTAAGCTTTCAGGTACTTGGTTAGCCCTTTTGATGCTTCTCCATAAATTTTTTTCAAGTAAATCCACCATGTAAGAGTGGTTGCATTTTTCTTTTTTAGAACAGGAGTGCCTCAGTCAGATCATCACATTTATATGCCAATGCATGCGTTTCTCTCTAGTATACTTTTTATCTACATTCCACACCCAAATGATCCTTCTTTCTAATGAATTCTCATACTAGCCAGTATTGGTTTTGTAGCAGGATGTTGGCAAAGAGGATATCAGAGGCTTCAGCTCTGCAGCGACTCTCAACTCTGAGAGTAACTCCCAACAGACCCAAACCCTACAACTGAAGCACCCAGTTTCCCCTTACACTCCACCAGCATTACTATATTTTCCTCCAAAGAGACAACAAACCTTTTTCAACATCTTGTTCTGTTTGTGGAAGAATTCCACTTTGATATCACCACACACCGGCAATGGTTGAGGGAATTCAAAGTACATGTATTTGTCTTCTCGTCTTGGGGGTCCTGAAGGAGAGGTGAATATCTTTACCTTTAATTGGTACACCACAAATTGAGGATCTGCAGGGTAAAACATAAAAGGCTATTATTTCACAAGTAAAATCTTTTAACTTCCAAAACCTGGGTTAATAGATTCACAAAAGGTTATAATTTGCAATATGAAAAACAGATTTTAAAAGTATTTATTTAGAACTATCCAATGTGATACGATAAACAAGAAAATCACCACTTCGCAGAAAGATCTTTCATAGCTTAAAGCATAGAAACGTCACTTAATAGAACCCTAGAACTCTCAATGTCAGAATTTCAAACTGATATACAGTAAACTTCCAATAATCCGGCACCTTTGGGAGCCAGGGGGTTCTGGATTATCAAATATGCCGGACTATTGGACAGGGGGGCTGTGAAGGAGATGGGGGGCGCGACACTGAGGGACCAACCCAGCAGCACCCCAGCTGCTCTGTCCCAGACTTCGAGTCAGCCGCTGCTGAAACTGACCAGCGGCCGACTCGGGGAAGCCCGGGGCAGAGCAGCGCCAATTGTCCAGCTGCCTGGAGCACTTTCAGGTGGTGCTGGACTATCAGGAGTGTCGGACCACTGGATGCTGGACAACTGGAGTTTTACTGTACACTGAGTGTGAGGCTGATTGAAATGTGGCCATATAGATAGATCACTGTTGCAACCACTCTCATGTTTGCGGCAAATCTTGCACAGTATGTACCAAATGCCGTGTCTATGAAGAGCTGGTAATTCGCTGTTATGATGATGCTGTTGGTATTAGGGAAGTTAGATATCGGGTATCTGAATAATTGTGTTACTGCATGAAATCTTAGTGGTTACATGACTATTTGATAGTCCTCAGGGGCAGGGCCAACAGCCAGTGCACTCCTGGCCCCACTCCTGGGAGCCCCCTGCCACTCCACACTGCTGCTGCTGTATCAGAGGCTGCCTACTAAATCTGTCCAGCGGGGTCCGAGCTCCCCATGGACAGAGGATGCACCACAGAATCTGAGCAAACTGTCTGTGGGGAGCTTGGGCCCACTGCAGACAGGGGCTGATGCTGCCCTGTGCTGCTGCCCCTGCATCAGAAGCAGCGCAGGGCAGCAGGCAGTATTCCCTTGCTCACCCTCGTTTAATCAGTTAACCCATTAAAATTTAAGCGGTTAACTAATTAAATGGGATTTTACATCCCTAATATGAAATTATGATTATTGGCTATGAACTTGTCTCTCAAATGTTTGCTTCTCAGAGACCACAACAGGACGTTTGGCCAGCGTATGGTGAAGAACTATTCAGGCTGAATAGAACTACTTGGACTGACAGTGGGCCTAGACAGGTACCAATCCACATCCAATGTGAAAACCCAGACTATGACGGGAGAAATGGCTTCTACCTGTAAAGAACTGAGTCATATGGATAGGTGGCCTGCTCATGTGACAAACTCCATCTTGTACTTGTACTTTTCCAGCGCAAGAACAATGGGAATCCCTAGATATGGCAAAGGATATAGAAAGCCCTGGAAATTCCCATTTTGTCTTCAATCCTGCTACCTACCTCTGTAGTATCTTTGCTACAAACTGAAGCTCCAAACCAGGGCTACTCAACAAGTGCCCAGAGCCCATTGTTTGCAGCCCATGGTGTGGTTTGGGTTTACACGGGGCTCAACATATGGCCCAGGGGTGGGATCCTTTGAACATGGCCTCCTCCACTGGGAACACACTCCACAACAGCAAGGTAAGCACTGAAACACGCAAGTGGACAGGCTGGCTTGAACAGATGGGAACAGGGTGTTGGCATTTCTAGCCCTTGGGGAGGAGGTGACAGGAGCACCGGGGCATTCTGGGAAGTGCTTTGTATTCATACACATCAGTGTGAAAGAAGTTATTTGCATATATATATATATATATAATTTGCATGCATATGCAACCACACTTAAGTTGCAGCCCTCAGCATGTGATGTGAGTATCACTGTGGCCCCCCCATGGCTTCCAAAGTTGAGTAGCTCTACTCTAAACCAAGGACTGAATGGCCCCTCCAAGCTGCAGATATGCTCCAGAGACCTTGGTTAAGACAGCAGTTTAGTCCATCATTGCTACAAGCCTGAACCAAGAACTTTACCACTGTTGATTCCTTTAACAATTTAACTCCAACTCTTCCTTTTTATAAATAAACCTTTAGCTTTCAAGTTACTAAAGGATTGGAGAAATGTGCTTTAACAAGACTGAGTTATAAATTGACCTTAAAATGTGGCTGATCCTCTGGGATGGGAAGAACCTTTTTATTTTATGAGATTGGTTTTCAGAATCTCATCAGTACACGAAGTGTTACAGGTGGTGACACAAGAACTGGAGAGTGAGGAAACTGTTTGTGTGACTTGTTGTTAGTCAGCGTGGTGAACAGAAGTTCTCTTTTTGTCTGGTTTGTTGTACCTTGTAGCAGAGGAACTCCAGTCATGAGCTGTAAGCAGCCCTGTCTCTAAAGCAGTATCCCTTAAGCCCCCACCCCTTGTTACAGTAAGTATAACAGTAAAATAAAATTCTTAGTATTTCATTCTATATTCTAATTTATAATACCATTTTTACATAGTCACTTGTATCTTCTTCAGCCTGATCCCTTTGCATATTTAAAACATATATAGTAGTACCTACTAGTATCTGCTTATTTAATGACAAAACAGTTTTTTACTTTTTACTTCTGCTTGAATTTCAGTTGTTCCAGAATAAACTGGATTCTGCTCTGATTTAAGAGTAAACAGAATGGTTAACTTAATTCCAATTACTGTGTCAAATGTTAAACAAATGTATAGACACACTGACGATAGTACTATGAAATCTGAATTAATCCAGCCCACAGAAACTTTACTGCTAGTCATGATCTAGAAGTGATTAGTAATTTCACTTAACTTTTAGCTCAAGTTAAGTCTCCAAGGACAGAAGTTAGATATGCTTAGTTTGCAAATAGTAAAGCTTATCTGATCTAAAAATCACCAATACACAACATGAAATCCAGCAACATTTATCAGAATCACTTTTCAGTCTAGAAACACACTTCAGGTCTAATTCAGGCTGATCACTGGGCTAGGGAGCTAGCCTTGAGCTAGACTGTGAAGCCACTTTGAATCTACTATTGCAGCCCAAGAAGTGCAGAGTCTATTGCCAGATCCCTATTTACAGCGCTGGATGGCATGACATTTACAGCCTCCTCTCCTCACTCAAAACCTCATCTTCAGTCTTCAGATCCTGCCACCACTCTTCTTTCTGAAGAAATGCCACACGGATCCTGCAGTTAGGGACCTCAGAACTCCTGGAAGGGGTGGTAAGTTTTAGCCCTCAGGCTGTGTCTACATTGGCATGATGTAGCAGCTGCTTTTGCGCAAAAACATGCTGCCTGTCTACACTGGCAGGGAGTTCTTGCACAAGAACACTGATGTTCCAATGTATGAAATCAGTGCTTCTTGCACAAGAACTATGATGCTCCCTCTCAGGAATAAGCCCTCTTGCGCAACTGTTCTTGTGCAAGAGGCCAGTGTAGACAGGCAACATGAATTTCTTGTGCAAGAAAGCCCGATAGCTAAAATGGCCATCGGAGCTTTCTTGTGCAAGACAGCATCTACACTGGCATGGATGCTCTTGCGCAAAAGCACATCTCTTGTGCAAAGGCACATGCCAGTGTAGACGCTCTCTTGTACAAATACTCTAACGCAAAAAATCTTGCGTTAAAAGTATTTTCGCAAATTCTTGCCAATGTAGCCTCAGTGTTTGCTGAAGTTAATCACAACAGATACAGAGATTTAAAAAGCAGTCAATTACAGGTTTCCTACATGAAATGGTTTAAAACCTCAAAGAAACTACACTTTGAGGAAAAACACACAGTGGTAATTAATACATGTGTCTAATAATTTGTTAACTTATCAGAAGTAGAAGTAATAGAGAAGCTTATCAAAGTACAAGTTTAAACCTATTATGCACACAATGTAGAAAACCTGCTCAAGGTAATGTTAAGACTTATAAAAAGTTAATGCTATTAGGACCACACTTTGCTGAGGAGAGAGATTTCCAAATACATCTCTAATCTTCACTTTACCATTTTGGTGGTTTTTCTTTTGTTTGCAGACAGTCACCTCCCTTCCTGTTCCTGCAAATGAAGCTAGTTTTTATAGACCTCTATAAAAACCTGCATTTGGCTACTTTAAGTCTATGCATTTTCAAGTTGTATCTTACAATGGCATTAATTTCAGTCTGTTGCCCCTTACTATAATGCCAATACTGAAATGATGGTAAGCAACATTTTTGTACATAAATAGAAAATGAATGGATGTTACTACTTTGAAACACACTCTTAAAGACAAGGGTGAATACAGATTTTCAGTTAAACTCAAGTAATCGGATAGTTTCCTTCCCAATACATAGCATATTCCCAAAGCAGAATTACATCTGGCTAGATGCGTTAACTTTGTAAGTCTCTGAAATAAGTCCTTCCTTCAGAAAGCAGCAAATAGACAATAAACATGTATGCAGCAGAATCACACGTTTTAGAGTCCATAGAGAAGAAAAATGTCATGTGTTGGTTAAACAATCATGGGAATCTCCTTGTAGTTGAGACACTACATAACTCTCACAGAACCAAAACTTTACTGAAATAATACTGCAGAAAAGTGAAGTTGCTGTGTTTAATTAATTTTGAATAAGCAACAAAAAGAGAGTACACCCTTCTTAACCACTTTAAATGTTTCCCAATTTAAAGTTTAATGAAACAGCACCTGTTTGTACGGTGGTTTAAGACAAATGCCACACAACTTACATGGAACTTTTTCAAAGATAAAAGAGTGCATAGTCAGGATTGGAATCCAACAGATCTCAAGTCTCTAAACAGGATTCCTTATACTACTATGGCATTCTACCACTCAAAAGGATAAGTTGGTTCTGTGATGTAAGGGCATTGGGATGTAATGTTAATCACAAGGAGCTACATAACTATATACAAATTCAAATACCTATACCTCTACATATGCAAATACCTACACATTTTAGCAGACAAGAACCATACACATTTTAGCAGACAAGAACCATTAATACAGAATAAGGGTACTTACTGCAAGTTCCGCCACTGAACATTGGAATAGTTTCAAACATCATCTTGTGAAACAACAGTGCCACTGGTCTATAATCCAGGTGATTCTTTAACAGATAACTATAATAATACACATAGCGTCTCTGACTGGGAATAGTTACTCCCTAAATAAAGAGAGAACAAATTTAAAAACAATCCATCAATTATTAATTACTAGTTCACATTAATAGGCAGGAGCCAATTAAAATAAAATTACTAAAACCAGTTCTAAGTATAAAAAGTCACAGTGGACCCAAATTTAGCATTTATGCATCTTAATGGTAATATCTTAATTACTGGAAATTAGGGGTTAGAAAAAGTTATCCCAAACCTGTTAGTACAAAGACTAAATCCACTAGAAAAGGGGAAAACTTGCCCCCAAACTAATTCCTGTTTTGGAGGGTAGGGAAGTTGAGAGGAAAGGAAGGAGAGGAGAGGTCATCTGTACTTGTGGTTTTCCATTTTTTTTCCAGGTGACCCAACTGAAGAGAAATGTTCATGCTTAACACTCAGCAAAACTAAGGATAAGGGCTTTGGGGTATAGCAGGAGGTTTAGGACTGGGGCAGTGGGTAGGGATGCTGGGGTGAGGGCTGTGGGGTGGGATTGGGGATTAGAAGTTCACTATGTAGGAGGGTAGGGTAGGGGTTGAGGTGCAGGATGGGGTCAGGGCTAGTGATGCAGGCTATGCAATTTAGGGTGCAGGAGACTCTGGGTCTGTGGGGGTTCAGGGCTGGGGCAGTGGATTGGGGTACAGGCTTACCAACCATGGTTTCTGGTGACCAGGAGGTTCGAATGCAGGCTTCCTGCCTGTCTTGGCTTTCTGGACCACACTGTCCCAGAAGCAGTCAGCAACAGGTCCAGCTCCTAGGCTGAGGCGTGCAAGCAGCTACACATGGCTCTATTCTGCAAGCACGGACCCTCTCCACCTCCCATTTGGTTAACCAGATTTCTGGTTAATCTACAGTAAAGCTGGTGCTTAGGGCAGAAGCAGCATGGGGAGTCCTGTGTCCTACTGCTGGCCACTTCTGGAGTTTTTGAAGTGTGGGTTGTGACCCAGACTTAACTGGCTACCAAGGTCCCTGGGTGCTAAGCAAGGTGATCCAGTGCCTTACTTTCTGCAACCCAGTACTGAGTCGCACTTTGAAAACCAATGATCTACATGGAACACTTTTTCATCTTCCCATACACAGCACCATACCTGCTCTGCCTTTCTTGCAAAAACTTCAAATGCAGCACACCACATGAGATGAGAAGCAATGAAAAAGCTTAACAGCATGGTGTCCAGCTTCTATTACATTGTGCTAAAGGATTTTTCAAGTCTTGCTTACCTTCAACTCATGTACATATTTCCTAATGTAAGGTTTTCAGTAATAAAAATATGGAATGCTACCCTCAATTGTATATATTAAATTAATATAAAAACTCAAATGGCTTTAAGGTCCACAAAGCAATCTACAGCATCATGTTGCTTTTTAGAAAAAAAGATTTCAATTAGTATCACCATATATTTAGTGGGAAGGCCACATGAACCACCTACATTTACAAGATTTCAAGTCTGCAGTAGGTTTTAGGCATACTTGCTAACATTGCCTATAAAATTCTAGTGCCATTATTATTTCCACTATGAAACCCATTTATGAGAGGTTTCACAAAAAGAAGTGGAAATAGATTACATTAGGCCAACTAGCCCAATTCCGTGTCATTACTGGATTGTTCAACTACATTATTTTAAACCTCTGCATTAAATGATCATTTGGAGAAACAGTTGAATAACTTTTCTAAACTAAATGTAACTATTTTAAAATTTTAATGCAGCAATAAGTTAATCAAAAATATTCTGGTTTATTCATTTTTATGATTTTCAGAAAAAAAATTAGTGACAAAGATGATCAATATTTTACCTAGAGAATTATAGAGTTCAAAACAATATATAATGTAGTTTGTTATATACAGATTCAAAACAGAACTAGTGCATATTAATGTTCACATTACAATAGGAAAAAAATAGGTATAACTGTTTTCTGAGAAAAGTCATATTACAGATACATGCATACAAACATGCACAAGCACGTCCACAAACAGTTTGGTCTTAGTAACTGATATTCAACTGAACATGTTAATTAAGGAAACATCTCAATTCTGAAGAGGTATGCTATATTTGACTTGAAACAAATTTCTGTAGGACTGTCAATCACAATTTTAAATTGCACTGTTCAACAGAATACCAACAAAAAATTATAAATACTGAGAGGTTTTCTACATGTTCAAAGATATTGATTTCAAATGCAACATAATGCAAAGTGTACAGTGCTCATTTTATATTATTTTTATTACAAATATTTGCACTATGCAACAGAAAAGTAATGTAGTGCAGTCTATCATTTATGCACAAAGTACACATGTAGGTTTGTTACATAGCTGCATTAAAAAACAAAACAATGTAAAACATAAGCACTTATAAGTCCATTTAGACGTACTCTGATTCAACTAATTGCTAAGACAAACATGTCTATTTACATTTGTGGGAAATACCTGCTTCTTACTTATAAGATTTCCTGCAAGTGAGAACAGGTGTTCAAATGGCAATTTTATAGCTGGCATTACAAGGTATTTAAGTACCAGATATGCCAATCATTCGTATTTCCCTTTATGCTTTGGCCATCCTTCCAGAGCATGTGCTTCCCGGCTGATGAAGCTAATTAAAAATAACATTAAATCTATGACTGAATTCCTTGAGGGAGAACAATGTCACCTGCTCCTTAGTTTTACCTGCATTCTGCCAAATATTGTGTTATGGAAGTCTTGAATGATGATCCAACATATGCTGTTCAATTTAAGAACACACCTTCACAGATTTGGTAAATGCAAAGAAGGCATCAATGAGAGATTTCTCAAGACAACTACAGCTTCAACACAAGGTTTAAGAATCTGAAATGCCTTCCAAAATCCAAGAGAACCTGTGGAACATGTTGTCAGAAGTCTTAAAAGAGCAACACTGATTCAGAAGCTGCAGAACCCAAAACATCAATAAAGATAACCCTCTGTTACCAGATCAAAATGAACGTGTCAGGCCACACTGCTCTGAATCATCATCCAACAAATCCATCACCAGCATGAAACCATGTCCTCTGGGACAATGGTCTAACCAGGAGGGGGAAAATATAATGTTTAGCATATCTGGCACGTAGTTGTCTTGCAATGCTGGCTACAATGGTGCCAGGCAAAATGTTGGTTCTCACTTTCAGGTGACCATGTAAATAAGAAGCAGGCAACATTACCCCAAAAAATGTAAACAAATGTGTTTGCCTTAACTGGCTGAAGAAGTAGGACTGAGTGGACTTGTACGCTCAAAATTCCAGGGATGTTAAATTTAGTTTAATCAACCCATAGACTAGTCAATAAGCAGGGGAGCCACAGCAGGGTAGCTAACCCTGCTGCAGCTCTGCCTTTTAAATGTGTTAAGAGCTTGTCGGCTCTTAACACATTTAAAAGGCTAAAGCGCAGCAGAAGGGACCCAGTGCAATATGGGATAGCTGATTCCCAGCTCATGCAGGGTCCGCCCTGCCCCCTCCCCTTTACAACTACGCACCAGCCTTTTAAATGCATTAAATGGCAGCTCTAATACATTTAAAAGGCTAAAGCAGGGCCTGGGGGGAGGAGGAGGGCAAGTGTGAGCAAGGAATTAGCTGTCCCAGCTCACACCAGCACCCTTCCCCCAACTGAGCTTCTGATTTTTAAATGTATTAAGAGCCAACAGGCTCTTAATAAATTTAAAAAGCAGAGGAACAGAGTCTGGGAGTGGGAAAGAGCCAGGAATCAGCTAATTCCCGGCTCATGCCCACTTCCCACCTACACCGCTGCTCCCCGCAGAGACAGTGCTGTTGGGAGGGGGAGAGGGAGACACGACTGGCTTTTAAACTGGCTCCCCCCAGCACTACTCCTGCTCCCCTCCCTTACTGTCTCTGATAGAGGAAGCAACAACAGGGGGAGCGAAGGGTGTGACTAGTCAAGAGACTAGTCAACTATCCGATAAGCTTTCGCTTCTCAGATAGTCGATTAGTCACTTATATCCCTACTCAAAAAGTTGTGCACTTTTTCGAGTGCAGTTACATAAAACAAATCTTCATTTGTAACTTCCACTTTCACCATAGAAAGATTGAACTATAGTACTTATATAAGGTGAAGTTTGAAATATTTCTCTATTTAATAGTGACAATATTTATAATTAAAAATATAAAGTGAGCACTGTATTACTTAATATTCTGTGTTCTGATTGAATTCAATATTTGAAAATGTAGAAAACATCCAAAATACTTGGTCATTTTCTATTATTGTGTAATGATGTTATTGAAACCACAATCATAATTATTTTTAATCATTTGACAGCCCTAATTTTTTCCTTTTTAATAATGCTGCAAAATGAAGGCCTTTTACAACTCCAAACATTTCTATATTACAGATTTCACCCCCGCTCTCCCATTCCGCTTATGGTACCTGTACAATGGATGCCTACAAGTAGCTATCTGACAACTCTGTCTGATAAGGTTTTGACTTCAGGCTGCTTTATCAGATCCATTTCTTAAAGCAGCTTTTAAATATTTTCCTAATACAAGTCTGGACTTTAAATTCAGAAACATAGCCCAGACACTAAAAATGACCAACACACAGCTTGGCAGGGCTTCAGAATGGGGGAGTAGATTGAAAAACAGATACAGATAGGAAACAGCTTCCTCTTCTATTATATCATTTCCACTCTAACACACTTTTATAGAGACATCTCTCTAATCCTTACCAAGACAGCTAACACTGAGACCAGACCAAGGGGAAAATAGTTATATAGTAATAGTTGATATGCTGAATGCTGTATCAATGCAGAAACAAATATTCTTGAAGATAATAACCAGGTGCCAATCTTGCCAAGTGGCAGCTTGACAAATTTTGGAAACAAAGACCAATTTTCTTTCAGACCAGACAGCAATTATAACTCATCTTATTGCCAAAGAACGTGGTCTTTATGCCTGAAGCCCTAACAAACCGATAGGCACACAAAGCTTAAAGCAGAAAGAATAAAAATCATAGACTTGCGTAAGTAGTAGAGTTTTTATCAAGTCCATGGTATACCTG